GGGGCGAGGAAGGGGCCAAGGCAACTGGGGCCCTCCTGGCGGTGAGATGACCTTCTCCATCCCTACTCATAAATGTGGGCTGGTCATCGGCCGAGGTGAGTAGGCCTGCCTGCATTCTGTTCCTCAGCTCCCCCTCCTTCTGCCTTCTCTTTACTATCTGTCGTTCCCCACAGGTGGTGAGAACGTGAAAGCCATAAACCAGCAGACAGGCGCCTTTGTGGAGATCTCCCGGCAGCTGCCGCCCAATGGGGACCCCAACTTCAAGTTGTTCATCATCCGGGGCTCACCCCAGCAGATAGACCACGCCAAGCAGCTCATTGAGGAAAAGATTGAGGTGGGCTCAGGGAGGGGTTCTTGGAGCCTGGACACATCTCCTGTCTCCTTCCCCCCACCCAAGTGACTTTGCTTCTCCTTCCTCCAGGGTCCCCTCTGCCCAGTTGGACCAGGCCCCGGGGGACCAGGCCCTGCAGGCCCCATGGGGCCCTTCAACCCCGGGCCTTTCAATCAGGGGCCACCTGGGGCTCCCCCGCAGTGAGTATTCATTCATCTCAGCTTCCTGGGATTTGGGACATGGGGGTTGCTGTGCTGCCAAGAAGAGCAGCGGACCCCATTTTCATTCAACACCAAAAAGTGCTGATCACAGCGGTTCAAGGCACGATCCAGCCCAGACTCCTACTCCTGTGTGATCAGTGCCGTTTTTTTTTTTTGTTTTTTTTTTTTAAAGATTTTATTTATTTTTTTGACAGAGGGAGACACGGCGAGAGAAGGAACACAAGCAGGGGGAGTGGGAGAGGGAGAAGCAGGCTTCCCACGGAGCAGGGAGCCCGATGTGGGGCTCGATCCCAGGACCCTGGGACCATGACCTGAGCCGAAGGCAGACGCTTAACGGCTGAGCCACCCAGGCGCCCCTGATCAGTGCCATTTTTAAAAGATGTCACAGATGTTGACCCTGGTCTCCCACCTAATAGGCAAGCCCGTGTATACTGAATTTGGGCGACTTGCACATCTTTAAGCCAACGGAGTTTGTGTTCTTTGGCATTGTTCATCTCACCTTTTCCTGGGCCGAGGGCCTGTGACTGAGTATAAGCAGTGGGCTAGGCCTGGGCCCCCTTCCTCCCAGCCATCCCTGCCCCCGTGGAGGAGTGGTCCCAGCTCACTTGCCCTGTCTTTCTTGTCCCGCAGTGCGGGGGGCCCCCCTCCTCACCAGTACCCACCCCAGGGCTGGGGCAATACCTACCCCCAGTGGCAACCACCTGCTCCTCATGACCCAAGTAAGTAAGGCTGCCCAGGTGAAGGGCAGGACAGGGCTTGGGGGCCCAGGTGGGGAGGGCGGGGCTGGCTTCCAGTGCTGCTCTTCAGCCCACTGCTCTCCTACAGATAAAGCTGCAGCCGCTGCAGACCCCAATGCCGCCTGGGCCGCCTACTACTCACACTACTACCAGCAGCCCCCAGGCCCCGTGCCCGGCCCTGCACCGGCCCCCGCGGCCCCCCCTGCCCAGGGCGAGCCCCCACAGCCCCCACCCGCCGGCCAGTCAGACTACACTAAGGCCTGGGAAGAGTATTACAAAAAGATCGGTGAGTGTGTGGGCCGCCGCAGGGGCTCAAGTAGGTCGGAGGCTGGTGAGAGGCAGCCGCGTCCCTGTGCCATCCTCTGACCTCTCGAGGCCTTCCTCCTGCAGGCCAGCAGCCCCAGCAGCCCGGAGCGCCCCCACAGCAGGACTACACGAAGGCCTGGGAGGAGTACTACAAGAAGCAGGGTGAGCCGCTGGGGTTGCGGGGCAGGGGCAGGGCCAGGCCCTCGGGCCCCCAGTCACACTCGCTCACCGTGACTCCGCTTCCGTGCAGCTCAAGTGGCCACCGGAGGGGGTCCGGGAGCACCCCCAGGCTCCCAGCCAGACTACAGTGCCGCCTGGGCTGAATATTACAGACAGCAGGCCGCTTACTACGGACAGACTCCAGGTCCTGGCGGCCCCCAGCCTCCACCCACACAGCAGGGACAGCAGCAGGCAAGTGGGAATTGCCACCCTCCTCCTCCTCCTTTTTCCTTCCAACCCCCGGCCACCGTCCATCCTGCCTTAGTGGGTAGCGCCGGAAATCCCTTCCCCTGCGGGGTGTGTCCTTGATGCCTGCAGCGGGGGCCGTGTGGCCAGAGGTCTCCGGGAGTCCCCACGAGCTGGGGAAGTGTGCGCTGGGTCCAGAGGTTAAACGAAGAGGCCTCCCTGCGCCGGCCCGCTTGTTCCTGTGTCACGCTGTCTCGATGCTGGGGGAGAGCGCGAAGCAAATACAAGGTGGAACTGTTGAACTGGTGGGTAGTCCTGGGGGTGGGGGGCAGGCCAGCAGCACAGACGTTGGTCGCCATCCTGGCTGCTAACTCACTCATTCAAAATCTGGCCACTTGGGAAGAAAACGGATGTGTTTTCCCCTCTCTGCATTACTTTTTTGGGTTTTGTTCTTTGCATTCTTTTATTTTTAACCCCACAATCTTTTCCCCGTGTCCAAGTGACTGTGTGTTGCAGGCGGCCCCAGCGTGGGTCAGCCCTGGCTCTGGTGGGACTCGGGGAGCTTGCCACGGGGACCGGCCGCAGGGCCCCTCCCGCCCTGCCTGGGCTCCGCCGCCGCCTCCGCTCTCGCGCCTGCCTCTGTGTCCTGGTTTTGTCTGTGAAGTGGGCATGACGATCGCCGCCACCTTCCAACCTACCTCACAGGGGTGTTGTGGGGACACCGTGATCTCTGAGATTGTCATGTTGTGATGCGCCGGAGCACCTACCTTCCCGAAGACAGAGGGCACCCCTCCTCCCTTGCAGACCCTGAGCGCGCTTCTCCCTCTCTCCCCGCTCTGCCTCTGCGGCCCCCGCTTCTCTCCTCCTGGTCTTCACGTCCCTCTTGCTCCCTCCTCCATCAAGGAGCCAGTCTGACTTCAGCCGAGGGCCCCGGAGCACAGACTAGACACTTACAAACACATCGTTCCAGCCCGAGCTCGCCACAGGCGCGGGAGAGGGGCTTCCTGGCCCCCTCCTTGCCACCGTCCCCCCCAGTCTCCCGCCCCTCCCCCCTCCCCGTAGTGACCAATTCCTATCTCTTCCCTCTCCGCAGGCTCAATGAATCGAATGAATGTGAACTTCCTCATCTGTGAAAATCTTTTATTTTTTTTTTTCCATTTTGTTCTGTTTGGGGGCTTCTTTTTTTTTTTTTGGGTTCTTTTTTTTTTTCCCTCATGTGTTTGGCGAGAGAGCGATGGCTGCTGTGGGGGGTGCTGGGGAGCCCTTGCTGTGAGTGGCTTGGAGGTCACAGCCTGGGCAATGCTGGGCTCTCACTCTCTCGTTCATTCTGTGTGTCTCATGCTTTTTTCTTTCAAAATTGGGATCCTTCATGTTGAGCCAGCCATAGAAGATAGAATTAAATCTCTGCCAAAAAAAAAAAAAATTTAAATATAAAAAACACAAAAAGCAAACAAAACCTATAAAATTATATATATATATATATAAAAATCTCTATCTCTTCCTGAAACTGCCTCTTTCAGGGGAAGGCAATTCATTTTCTTCCTACCACCCCTGGCCCTCTTCATGTTTTTAAAATAAACTTTTAAAAAGGAAAAAAAGTCACTCTTGCTATTTCTTTTTTTTAGTTAGAGTTGGAACATTCCTTGGACCAGGTGTTGCTATTGCAGGCCCCCCCCCCAGTCAAGCCCCTTGATCTGCTCCTCCTCCTCCCCCCTGCCTCTCTCGGCTCCCTGCAGCCCCTCCCGCCCCCCACTCCCGGGACCGGTCTTGGGTTTCAGCTGTTCAAGAGGACATTGAAACTGAAAACAAATTGAGAACAAAAACAAAAAATTGTATGGCAGTTTTTACTTTTTATCGCTCGTTTTTAACTTCACAAATAAATGATAACAAAACCTCCCCGTGTCTGCTGGGTGCCGTCTCTCTCTTTCTCTCTCTCTCTTCCTCTTTCTCGTTTTCTTTCTTTCCCTCCTCTCCCCCCCGCCTCCTGTAGAGTTTTGAAGCAGATGTTTGTTTGTTCTTTATAGATGTTGTAAAAGCCTGGTAATGGTGATTGGAAATTACAAGCTTTGTGTTGTGTTTTTTCTTTCCTTCCTTCCTTTTTTTTTTTTTTTTCTTTTAAGAAAAAGAATTATAAGAAAAAATAGTTTTCTGCAGGCGCATTGTGCTTTCCTAATTCCCCCCCTACCCCCCCTTTTTTTTTTTTTTTGGTTAAATAAAGTGCTTTTTGTCTAAAAACTGCGTGCTGGCCGCAGTTGTGTTTGTAGGAGACAAGTTAAAGAGGAACAAGGGTTGGCCAATCAGTGGGGTCTGGGTCCCCCAAAGACTGCTCTTCTGGTGTTGCCTTGCAGAAAAGGGAATAGGGTGAGCCCCAGTGGAGTAATCTTCCCCCATCCCACTTTTTCCTCTGGGGACATGGGGAGCAAGACACCCAGGAGAGGCTCTGGGGCCAGGTGTTTCCATGGACGCAGCCTGCCACCACAGCAAACCCATGGCTGTGTGCGCCTCACGGGAGTCAGACTGGCCTTGATAAGGCACCTGGCTGGGGCCTAGTAGAAACCAGGCCTCGTAAAGGATAGCACGGGTTCCAGTGCTTGGTGGGACGCTGTGCCGCCCAAGGGTGAGGACTGGATATGGAAGAGTGACCTGAGGGGCCATCTGAGCTGTCTGGCCCAGGGGCGATCATCTGGAGCCCTACTGTGTGCCTGGAGTGCTCTTTCTGGGCTTAGAGTTGAACGCTAACACAGATCAGGTTTCACGTTCAGAAGCCTGGGCCCACAGGCTTCAAGGGCAGCCCCAAGCAGGAGCCCACAACAGCTCACAGTCCCCCCCACCGCCCCAGGCCTTGTCCAGGTTGGTCAGGAACCTGCTCCTGTGGGGGGGCCCCCAGTCAACCCACCCCCGTGGTGCCACGGCCCAGAAAGGGGCTGTCAGTCTGGGGCCTCGTGGGGAGTCAGCTCAGATTAAAGCCTGGCCTGCCGTCACCAGATGTCTTACCTCACAGGCACTGCGCCCCTTCTGAACCCCGTGTGGGTTCTGGGATGAGGGCGAAGGCAGAGCCCCCAACCCCTCCCATCACTGCAGGCTTTCAATGACAGAACAGCACTTGGCAAAAATGTTTTCTGGAGCTGCTTCTGCCAAGATCTAGAGGAGGGGGAGTGAAGGGTCAGTGCTGAGTCACAGCAGGGACACCGTCCTCCTTCCCTCCAAAAAGGGGGAAGCAGATTAGCAGGCCTCTAATAAAGTGCAGGCAAAAAGTCTCGAGGTGCGGTGTCAGGGCCATGCAAGTGAGGGAAGAGGGAAATGGGTCGGGAAGGCTGCAACACAATGTTACATGTCACTAGCAGCTGGCCAGAGGTGCGGTCCCTTGGAGCAGGCCATAGGAGGGCAGAAGGTGGGGGGAATTGCCTGCCCCACCTCACCCGGCCCCCGCCCTCCCTTCCCAGCCTCGTTGGTCAAAACTAGTTCCACAAGACACCCTCCTTTCAGCCTCATCTCACACTCCTGCCTTCAGCCGGAAATGGGGACAACAAAGTTTAATGTCTTCATAGACCGGTCACTTTAAGATAGGCCTACCTTCCCCCTGGGGAATGTATATGGCTGGACTTGAGCTGTGGTTCACCAATTGTCCTAACCTTATATTTTGTAGATACATTCTAAAATGTATTTAATGTTGCAGCTTTGGAGACATTGTTTAGACCTCAAAGGTCATGGCCGGAAGGCCACGCCCTGTGCCCATACTGCCCAACGGAAGGAATGGAAGTTCCCAAATTTCCCAGTGCACACAGTGGGGAGACAGGCCCAGAGAGGTCCAGGATGTGGGCCACGGCATGACCCCTGTCTTGTTCCCCTGGGGAGTCAGTCGGGGCGGGAGGTGAGTGGCAAGCAGGGAGTACCTACATTACAGAGCAGGTTCTTCTGCTGATAGAAGGTCAAGACTGGCTCACACAGCGTGTAGTACGTCTCCAGGCGCTGGCGGATGGCCGACTCACAGTCATCTGCCCGGTGCTCTATGCGGCCCCGGCGCAGCGCTCTCCGAACCATCGTGTCCATGGAGCAGTCAAACATGATGACGATGTCTGGGGCCCGGCCCACCTAGGCACCAGCAAAAGGGGCTGGGTGAGGAAGGGCCTAGGTGCAGTGTCTCCCTGACCCCTCTACCCTGAGATCAGGAGTCTAGAATTGTGTGGGCCCCCTGGGTTCATCTGATTTTTTAGCTCCAAGTTAGTGTTTACATATTTATTTTTTGAGATAGGTAGGACCTTGGCAGAAGCTCATAAGTAAACAACACTAACAGGGAAGAGTGAAGACTTCCTCACCATCCCCAGCCACCCAGTTTCACCCTCCCTGGAGGCAACTCCTTCCTGGAGTTACCTACTATTAGGGGCATATACTGTAAAAGCAAATGGGCTCCGATGTCCTTTTTTCTCCTTTTTTATACAAGTGGTGAAGATACTGATTTGCTTTCGACTTCACTCAGTATAACTGGAGATGTTTCCATACTGGCCCATAAGGAGGTTCCAACTGTATGGATGTACCATGACTTAGTTCTAGGCCGATGGCTATTTGGATTGAAATATTTCTTCTAAGATGGATTTAAGCATTCCAGATACTTCCGCTGGGTAAGGTACAAGAACCCCCAGCTCAGGGGCGCCTGGGTGGCTCAGTTGTTAAGTATCTGCCTTCGGCTCAGGTCATGACCCCAGGGGCCTGGGATGGAGGCCCGCATTGGGCTTGCTGCTCAGCCGGAAGCCTGCTTCTCCCTCTCCCACTCCCCCTGCTTGTGTTCCCTCTCTCCCTGTTTCTCTCTGTCAAATAAATAAATAAAATCTTAAATTAAAAAAAAAAAAAAGAGCCCCCAGCTCACCATTACCCATACTGCTGCTCTGACCTCCCTGACTGGTCTCAAGGAGACCTTTCTAGATCTCCATGTCTGCCCACTGTGAGCTCTACCTCCTACAAGTTCCTCCAGAATTTCGTTGTAAAATAGACTTCAAAGATGCATTAAAAAAAAAAAAATTACAACCAAGTGGGATTCATTCCAGAAAGCAAGGATGGTTCAATACAATTTATTGTATGAACCTCTGAGGGAAAAGGCATATGATCCTCCTCATAAACACAGAAAGGGCAATTAACAAAATAGAGCATGCATTCCAGATTTTTAAAGAGGCTAGTAATTGATAAATATCTTTAGCCAACATCTTTTTTTTTTTTTTAAGATTTTATTTATTTATTTGACAGAGACACAGCGAGAGAGGGAACACAAGCAGGGGGAGTGGGAGAGGGAGAAGCAGG